GTCATTTCAGGATCAAAGAGTTTAGAAAATTCACTGTGGTTTATGTAGAGGCTGTTGGCGATTTTCTCCTTTTCCTTGAGCTTCTTCTGAATCTGATCTTGGTAAATCTCATTAGGTGTGAGTGGTAGGATGGTAATCTTGCGACCTTTAAACTCAAATGAATGCTTGTTGGTATAGACGTCGTGTATAACCCTACGATCTGATTGCCACGGTCTTCCTAGCAACACATGACTCGAACCCATGGGAATAATATCACATAGAACCTCATCTTCATACTTCCAAATAGATAAAGAAACCATAACCTGCTGAAATACGGTTAAGGCTCCACTAACATTCAACCACTGAAGCTTATATGGTCTTGGATGAGGGATAGTCTTGAGCTGGAGATTCTTAACCATCTCTTCACTTGCAGCATTAGTGCAGCTTCCTCCATCTATGATCAGGCTACAAACTTTCTCTTTGATGAAGCAGCTTGTATGAAACAGGTTCTCTCGCTGACACGTCTCTTCAGGTTGGTGCTGAACACTCAAAGTCCTTCTTGCAACCAGCATCTCACCCACGGTAACAGCTTCTTCCTCTTCTTCTAGCTCATATTCGGCCTCTGATTCCTCTTGTGGGACTATCTCTCCTCCCTCTGGTAACAGGAATACCTTCTTGTTTGGACAGTCCCGAGAATAATGTCCCATTCCTTGACATTTGAAGCACCTTACGTTGCTGTTAGAATTACCACTTCTGGGTTTGAACTCGGGTTTAGCTTCTTCTTTAACCCCAGTAGAAGCCGGTTTGATGTCTCTGGAGTAAGCTGGTTTGTTTCTCTCCTTAGGCTTAGGCACACTAGGCGTGAATGTAGACTTGATGATTCGCCTCTTGACTTGGGATTCAACCAATTCAGCCTTATGCACCATCTCTTGTATATCTGCGAAATCCTGAAGTTCTACCTTGTCTTGAATTTCTCGGTTAAGCCCTCCAAGAAATCTTGACATTACCATCTCTTCTCCTTCTCTTAAATATGTACGAATGAGCAAAGTTTCCAATTCCTGATAATAATCTCGTACAGACTTTGTACCTTGAATGAGGCGCCTAAGCTTGTTGAGAAGCTCGCGCTGATAATGGGCTGGAACGACCCTCTTCCTCATCTGCATAACAAGCTGATCCCAAGTAGTGATTGGAGGTTCTCGGAGGCGGTTTCTGGTGATTCCCAACTGTTCCCACCATAGAAGTGCATACCCATGGAATTCTGAAACTGCAATCTTCACCTTGTTGAGCTCGTAAGTACCTTGGACCAGAAAGTTAGACTCCATCTTCCTTTCCCAATCTAGATAAACTTCGGTATCATTAGTTCCATGGAAAGGAGGATACTGGATTTTGATATGACGCAGCTGCTGGCGTAGAGGATCCTAATCTCGACCATGTCCTCGGCCTCGATCTCTTCTCACAGTTTCCCTGCTATGATCAGAAGCTTCGTCCTCCTCATAGTACTCTGGTTCTGATTCCAGGGTGACTCGATGCCCAGCGATGTATTCCTCTCTACGGTGTTGACGTTTTGGGTGCCGTTTACCCTTGGGCCATCTCGATCTGCACTTGTGGGGTTCCTCCTCGGATTAAATGTAGTCTCTCTGCCCCCAGTCTGGTTTCGGTTGTACTTAGCTTTAGTCCTGACTTCGGAAGGTGTTGGGTGGCGTGGGAGTCTCCGGGAAGATCCTATGTGCCCTTTACCCTTAGCTAAGCGCATCGCTTCGGTCGGAGTTGGAGTTTGTGAAGATTCTTCTCCACTTGCACTAAGATCTTTGAGCAGATCACTCATCTTTGTCTCGAACTTGTCATTGAGTTGTTCGATCTGTTGTGTGAGTTGAGTTGATATGGCTTGATTCGCTTCTTTAATTTGTTGAGACATTGCTCGGTTCAAATCTTCCATCGCCTCAGCTGAAAGCTCCATGGTACCTAAAAAAAATTAAAGAGAACTTGCAGTAACTTGTTCTAGACGAAATCACAAAGACAGAAAAATGATTTAACTAAACTCAGCATAAAAATCGCGAAATATACAATAAGTTAACACAGAAATAGCAAGATCAGACACTAAGTAACAACGAAAATTACAGAAGCTAGAACAAGTGCTAACGAAACTCAGAAACCTAGCACACTAACGAAACCCTAACAGATTAGCGACACGAAACCACGAAAACTCCAAATAAACCTAAACGAAATCGATAAATAGCAGAAAACCTAGAAAACGATTTATCAAACTCGAAACAAAATACTAAACTCAACCAACTAAAAACTCAGAAACAACAAGAGCAGAGATCGACACCAATAAACTAGGTTTAGACAAAAAATTAAAAGCACAGAGGTTAGGGTTAGGATTTTTCGCTCAGCCTTTGGTTCAGAGTTGGCTCTGATACCACGTGATGCGATCCTAGGTGATCAACTCCGAAGAAAAGGCTACAGATGATGCGAGTTTATGGATAGGAGAAGAAGATGCGAGGCTGAAGACTCAAGGAATCAGCGATGGGGGCGCGAAGATGATTCGGTGGGGTGGTGATGGTGGTGCGATGTTTGAGAGATAGAAGAATATCTTGTAAACAGATTAGTTTTAAGAGATTCGAATTTCAGAGTTTTTCTTGTTCTCAGAAATCAAAAGAGCGAAGAACACAATAAGGGGTTTTGACATAAAATTCTTCACTGATCGATGACTTAGGCGATTCCCAAGTTATATAGCCTTAGAGAAATTGCAGCCCTAAAGAAACAAAACTACATGAAGTTTGAAATAAAACAACAGGAAGTTTGATTTAAAAATAAAACAGCGAGGCATCCCTTCCAAAAGGACCTAAATGGTGCGCCTCAAGATACTAAACTAGTGCATTCTGAATGGCTCAGACTTGCACATTATTACCCATTAGCAACAACTCCTAAGTAACTCGACGTAGCAATGATTTCTGCCTTGTTAAAAACCTTGGAGAAGAACCTCCTTCCTTCCAAAATCCTCACCAAGGAAAAGAGTACAGAATCATCACCTAAGTTACCTAGTCATTGTTACCGGGTTCTTCGTTCTTCAAGATAGAGATGTTGAAGATGTGAGCTTCAGCCTCAAGTTGATCGCCGTCCTCTGCGGCAATGAGCGTGTGAGCTTCCTTAGCCATCTCCCTAGCTCTGGAACGAGTGATCCTTCCAGCTATCTCCGGTTCCTCCTCCTCTGAGCTTGTCACAATCATATCAACTTGGGTGTGCGACTTGGGCAGGGATGTGACCATCTCGCACATCAGGCACAAGACCCAACTGAACCGGGTCAGTACCCAGTTTTTTTGGGCTGAACCAGCCCAAAACCCTTTGCTATATATACTTTTTTGGGAAAAAACCCTAAACACCTTTCATTCTATCTTTAGTTTCCTAAGTCCTATCTCATTTTGGATCATTAAAGGCGTTTTCTTTATCATTTATTTTCATCATTCCAGGCTTCTAATCATGATTAACAACGCATCTTGCAAAGGATTAAGTGTGTTAATCATAATTAGTGAGTAGTCATCTTATAAGGTCTTAGATAGGTAGATTAGGGTGCAAAGATGTTAGATTATGGAGTTTAGGAGTTAGATCATGCATCCTCCATTCTCTAATTAGGTGTTCTTAAGGCTAGATCTTTGCACATCACTCTGATCTAGATCATAGGCATTTCATACACCAAAAGTGTTTGATGAAATGCTTGAACCAATCTAATTAGAGGTTTATGCATCAAGACCATGAAAATGATTGTTTTATGTATAAATGACATATTAGAACTGATGTTTAATGCTCATTGATTCATATTTCATAAATGAGAGTTTGGTTTGAAAGTTGATTAGTGTAGAGATTATGAGCTTGAGAAAGGATTAATCTAGCTTTGAGTTCTAAGTTGAATGGCTTTGTCTGATTATTGATTCATTAGCTCCATAGTTTGGCATTGATGCACCCTAATCCAATATCCTGTCTAAGGCCTTTGCTTTCATAAATTCATCATCATCTGTTTTCTTGCTTTTGTTTATTGTTTGTTTAGTGTTTAATCTTGTTTAGAATTGCTTAGTGCCTTGTTCGAAACCAAAACCTACTTGTCTTGGTTGAATTAAGATACAAATCACATAAGCTAGTGTGCTAGACCCACAAGATGGTTTTACACCCTTTATACTACATGATTAAGGGATTTATAACCCACAAAAGAATTTAAAATTATTTGTTTATCAATTGGCGCCGTTGCCAACTTGTGTGGATTTAGCATTAGTTTCTGCTTTGTTCTTGAGATCAAGCATCTTTCTTTTTTTTTTACTGATTAGCCTTTTGAGTTTTGTCTTTGAGTTACTTGTGTATGAGAATAAGATCAAGGAATTCTGATCCTCTTCTTCCTTACAACAACAATATCAACCTATTAGAAATGAGAGCAAGAGAAAGAGCTGCTCATCTAGAGAGGTTGGGAATGGATCAGCATGTGGAACAAGCTGAGCATCAGGCTCATGTAAATGTTGCTCAGGCCGAGAGGAATGAGCAGCATGCGTTTGTGAAACAGAACATGGCACAGAGAAATGAGCACCAGGATCAAAGGAATCAGCAGCAAGCAGCTATGAATGAGCAGCAAGCTCATATCAATCAGCAGCCCCTCCCAAAGCCACCCAGACGTCAAGAGCCTCTACCAGTGTTTGTTGGTGAAAATAACCGAGCCAATGCACACCAATACAGGGCTGGGATACAGGCTCCTCCAGTAAAAAAAATAACATTTGCTTAACATGGTTCAGAATTCAAAGTTCCATGGTCTACCTATGGAGGATCCCCTAGAGAATTTGGATCAGTTTGACAAGGTGTGTGATTTGACTAAGATCAATGGAGTTTCAGAAGACAGCTTCAAGCTAAGGTTGTTTCCCTTCAGTTTGGGAGACAAGGCTCATCAGTGGGAGAAGAACCTACCAAGAGGATCAATTCAGACTTGAGAGTAGTGCAAGCTTGCTTTCATATCTAAGTTTTTCTCCACCTCAGGGACAGCCAAGCTGAGGAACCAGATATCAAGCTTTACCCAGCACAACAATGAAAGCTTTGGAGAAGCTTGGGAGAGGTTTACGGGTTACACAAACCAATGTCCCCATCATGGCTTTTCTGAGGCTTCACTCTTGAGTATCTTGTATAGAGGAGCATTTCCAAAAATCAGAAATCACTTAGACACAGCCTCAAATGGGAATTTTCTGGGTAAAGAGATAAAGTCTGCTTTGGAACTTGTCAAAAACTTAGCCATAAGTAATGATACTTATGGGGAGGATTTTGATAGAGCAAACAGAACTGAAGGCTCAAGTAATGAGCAAAGAATGGAGAGAGAAATCAAAGAGCTACAGGTCAAGATTGACAAAGTGCTAGTTGCTACCCAAAAGCGTATAGACTATGTAGGTGAGTTTCAAGAGAGGAGTTGCTTTGAGAATATCAATGAAGAGGGCCTTACACAAGAGGAGCTACACTACATAGGAAATCAGAACAAGTTTCAAGGTTACAATTACTTCAACAAGAACCAGAACTTTTCTAATAGAAGAACCAATGTAGCCAATCCCCAAGATCAAGTATACCCTCCTCAACAAGGTCAACAAAGCTTTGTTCAAAAGAATTAGTTTCAAGGCAACTTCCAATGTCAACAAGCTCTTCAGCAGCCAACAGTTCAGCAACAAGGGAATAGCTTCAATAACCAAGTCAGCTTCCCAGCAACAAAGGCCTCCACCTCGTGGATATGGTCCGCCACAAGTTCAACAAGGTCCTAATATCAGTTTTGTTCTCCAACAGATCTTACAAGGACAACAAAAGATAGAATCCAAGTGTCAAGACCTGAGTTCTAAGATGGAGATACTAGGCTCTGAACTAAAGACTCTTGAGAAACACAAGGGTATCTCCACTTCTGAAACTCAAGTCTTTCTTCCTGGCAAAGCTGTTCAAAACCCCAAAGTATATTGCAATGCCATATAATCAAGTGATGATAACTCAGCTGCTGTTCAAGAGATTGAATACCTTCTTTATGGTCAAGTCTCTGATGGGTCCAGCCCTAACACTGAGGATGAAGACGCCATTATAGAGGACTTTATGAGTTTCTTACCTGATCTCAATGACGTCATTATAGAGGACTTTATGAGTTGATCAAGAGAAGCCAAATGATAGTTTATCCAGCCTTGATTCAGAAATAGTGAAGCCTAAATCACTCCCAAATATGGGAAACCTAGGAAATTCACTATCTCTTGCACTCTTGGGAAGTTCAGAGTTGACAATGCCTTGTGTGATTCAGGCGAAAGTGTTAGTGTGATGTCTCTTGACATGATGGAGAGGCTAGGGATCAAGAACTTAAAGGACTATTTTCTATTCAGGCTCAAGTGTTAGTGTGATGTCTCTTGACATGATGTTTCCTTGTACATAACTTTTTTAATTCTTTCTCTTATTTCTCATGTTTTAGGATGTTTTGATGGGTTTTGTGAAGTGATTTCAGGTGTAAGGTGACTTAGGATGTCTGTGGTCCAAGGACAAAGTGAAAAGGGGTCTGAGAACAGGCTGAGAAAGGACTTAAAGCTTGAGAACTGGTGAGACGCCTGGTGTGCTAGATGGGTGTGAGAGATGGTCAGAGCTAGGTCCCATCTTGCAAACAAACTCGCATTTTAGACCGAGATGGTCTTGCGGGTCAGCTCATGAACAAGCTAGGTTGCACACTAAGACTTTCAGGAGGTTGTTATGTGCGACTTGGGTGTGCGAGACAGGAAGAGACAAGTCCCAAGTAGCACACATGTTCGCATTTCAGACCTACATGGGTGTGCGAGTCAGTTCTCTCCTGATCCAAGCAGCACACATGTTCGCATTTCAGACCTACATAGGTGTGCGAGTCAGTTTCAAGGGTCCATGTCGCACATATGTTCACTTGGTGCTGCTACATGGCTGTGCGAGATGGCTAAGGAAAAGACCAAGTAGCACTACAGTTCGCATTTGGCACCTACATAGTTGTGCGGCTCAGAAAACAGAGATCCAAGTCGCGCAAGAGCTCGCATATCAGACCGACATGGGTGTGTGGGTTAGTGTCTTCAGGTCCATGTCGCAGAAACAAAGAAAGCCCAGAACTTTCAACTCAGCTCTTGTGAGGCTTGGGTGTGCGAGATAGGAAGGAGAGCAGTCCATGTCGCACAACTGAAGAAAGCCAAGCTTTATGTGCGACTTGGGTGTGCGGGTTGGGCCAAGACAAGTCCATGTCGCACAAGGGAGTACAAGCCAGCCAAATCCACCTCCAGTGATGTATAGCCTCATCTGGTACCGATACTCACTCCCCCTTTGCATAAGAACCACACCAGGTATCACTCCAAACACTTGTAAATGAGCATTTAGCATATTTCTTTATCTTTTGCATTTCATGTTTGATTTTTCCTCTTTCTCATGCTTTTATAACACAAGGGACTGAGTTATTTAAGTGTGGTGGAGAGGCTTTGCGTTTACTAATCATGTTTTCTATGTTCTTATTTTCTCTTTTTGCATTTTGAGTCTCATTTGATCATGCATAGCATCTAAGTGCACAGAAAAACCAAAACAAATTGAAAAATTTCCAAAAAAAAAAAATTAGGATTAAGTCTAGAGTTGCATAATCATGTAGGTTTCATCAATGCATGGGAGTGATGATAGGTTTTTCCTTGAGAGGACAACACTTTAAGAATTCATTTCATTGCCCTAGTTTCTAATTCTTTGATGCATGGAAACAAGAAATCAAGATTGATCCATGCTTGGAACTTGTCATTCATTGACTTTGTGTTGAGTGAATCAAGCTTTGAATAGTTCCAGCCTTGCCTAAGTGAGAAACATAATTTGACTATCTAATTATCATGTTTGTGCATGTCATTGTGAACTCATGGGTACATTAAAATATTTGAGCTCTCTTATCCCTTTTCGCCACTCTATGCTAGTTCATATAGCTGTTCTCTTATCTTGACACAGTTCCCTGCCTTTAACTGATAACACCTGATTTTGACCACTTTTCACCATTAATTTCAATTGCTTTTTCAAAGGTTTTACTTTGTTTTAGGAAATTTTATTATGATTTCAATGTATTTGTAGTTTCAAGGCTCTTTTCAGGAAACTTGGAGAATATGATGGCAAAATGGAAGAAATCCACATTGTTAGCTCAGAGTCAGACCGTCAGAAGTTAAGCCTCTAATGAAGACTTTCTCACCGTCCGATCCAGCTCAAATTTGGAGACAATCAAGAGAGACAACCAGCTTTCAGTATCACTTTACATCACAAAGATCCAACGGTGCAATCAAAAGATACATAGAGAACAAATTGACCCAGTTCACCCGCCGGAAACACATGTTTTACCTGCCCTGGAAGACTCTCACCCCCGGTGGACCTTAGGACGAGCCACAAGGCCCAACATCAAAGCCCACTTCGCCATCTCTTTTCATAGAAGCCCTAAATGAGACCTGAAAGTCCTTACGACCTATAAATACAATGTTTAGCAGTCCTACACGGGTGTGTGCTCCTGTAATGATATTTTGAGCCACCAAACTTTGTTTTTCTAGGGTTAGGCGATGGAGATGGGGATTCTTCCCCAGATCCACTGTTCTTCCTCCTTTTTATCTTATTAACTTTTCTGTTTCATTCTTTTGCATTCTTATATGTCTTTCATCATTCATTGCATCATGTAGATTAGTCCCAGAGAGTCAAGTTGTTTGAAGATGTCGACAAGCATATATATCGATTAGGATTTCTATTGTTCTTAGCCATATTCTGGATCTCATCTCTTCTAAGTTATTCGTAAAGCATGAGAGTATATTCATGACGTATTCTCTGAGCCTAGGATCGATCAGAGCCACAAGAGTGTTGTATCAGATCATCCGTACCTAGCTTCAGAAGAACATAGTCGCTATAGGAGTCGAAAGCTATCTATAGAGAAGATGTGAGCAGACGAATTCAATGTTCAATGCATGATCTTAAGTTTAGCATGAGAGCAAGAGTTAATTGCTAGATCTAAGAGATTAGTTTTAAGGTGACGATAGTTGGTTAATCATACATGTGTCTATTCTAGTTCAATGCAGATTTCCAGAAACAGATGAAGATAAATCGTCCGGAAGCTAATTGGAAATGCCACCATACATCGATTAGAGTAAACCGGAGAAGTCTAAATCTCCACCTATGAGTTTAAGAGTCTTTAGTTTGATTTGATATGCTTTAGATGTTCTTTTTACAATTCATCCTGCATTGCATTTCTCGTGAATACTAAATTAGGTTTACTTTAGGATCTCAACCAAAAACCCCAAATCTTTTATTGGTTTATGAGTTTGTTTACTTCCCAGTTTGTTGTTTCTTGCAGATTAGACATCCTCCCTGTGGATAGACACCCTAAGTCCTACAACGTACATCTATGCACTTGCATACACTAGGGTTTAATAAATTTAAATCTTTTGGAGGACCAGCGGGCTTGTTAAAAAAAAAAATAACCCTAGACCCGCAAGCCCATCAAGTTTTTGGCGTTGCCGGGGAGGTATGAAGTCGTTGGAGGTCTAACCCTGGGAGGTTGAAGCCGCAGACGACTATATATATGTCGAGTTTCTGCCAAAGCAACATAGGAAGTAAACCAAATTCATAAACACCCTAACTTTCTCTTTTTCTGCTTATTCTTTCTTCTGTTTGCCCTAGTTTCAGAAACCTTTGAAACATGGATCATTCAAGGAGAAACCCTAACCTCGAGCAAAGTTCCACCAACCTGTGTGAAGCTCCCAGCGCATGTGAATCACCCTCCAGACGTGATTTTGATCATCATCTTCGGAACCCTAATCCGAACCACTACCATAGAGACTCGCGACCTCCACACCACGGAGATGAGCTCTACTCGTGACACCTGGTGAACCGTCGACCGTCTCATCCTCTTCCTCATCAGATTCTGCACCAACACTGCTGAAGCTGATCGATTTAGGCTCCAACTGAATCGATTAGGAGCTATGCTGAATCAATACCTTCATTTTCAAGTTGTTACGGCGGCTACCCTGTACAAGAGGATCGATGACCTCACTCACCATGTGAAATCGCTAGAAGATCTGAACTCTCAAGAAATTGCTGCCCTAAAAAGGAAGATAGATGCTTTAGAGGAAGAGCAGCCAAGACAGAAGTATGATATCCTTCAAGGATCCATCGATGCCAAGGCTGCTAAGCTAGAGATCAAGGAGTCCAACAAAATCGCTTCATGGTACAGAAGAAAGACAGATGGTGAACTTCAAGATTGAATTTCGCCTGAGCAAGCTTGAGCACAAGAGCCTGGAAACTAGTTCTGACATAAGCATCTCTCTAAGTGCCAAAGAGACACCAACCTTGTTGTGAGGAAGATCTTTGAGAATCATGAGAAGGATTCTCTTGTTCATGGTCATCAAAAAGAAGAAGAACCAACCAATCCAGATGCAGGAGATCCCTTAATGAACACCCAGAATAACCCTGAAGATGTCCTGGAAGAGCAAGAAGGAGAAGCAGCTGAGCAACCTTCGGAGCTCCTTACCGCAGCCAAGCCAATTCTCACCGCGGCCGCGAGAGTTTCACCCGTGGCCAGATCCTTCTCAGCAGCGGATGCAACGTTTCCACCCGCGGGAAACCACTATCTCACTCCAAGCCTGCATCACCGAGACCCCGAGGAACCAGAAGAGCATGACTCTTATATCCCATGCATGAAGATCACAGAAGAAGAACCAGATGTCATAGATTTGGAGGATGAATCACCTAAGAGGATTGAAATGCCATACATAGATTCAATCATCGAATTCGATGCTGCCAAGTTCTATTGTGATTCTTATTATGCATTTGAGGCACCAGATCATCCACAGGAAAGACCAGTTCAAACTTTGCACAAAGTTCAAGACAAAGGTCAATTTCTTATCTCTTGTGACATTAGAGGTGAAAGATTCCTCAATATTCTTTGTGATTCTGGAGCTTGCACTAACATGATGTCCAAAGCAACTACTTTCAGACTTGGTATTAAGCACATCTCAAGTACCAGGACGAAGATTAGCTTAGCAGATGATTCAAGTGCAATACCAAGAGGGATAGCCCGAGACATTCCTCTAAGGATTGGAGATTGCATTGCACCTGTCGATTTATACATAGTAAAGACCAAAGATGACTCTTATCCAGTTATTCTTGGATGGCCTTTCTTAGCAACTGCTGGAGCCATCATGGATTGGCCCAATAGGCGAGGTTCCTTTGCCAATATCGACAAGGACATCTTCTATGAAGCTACACCACTTAAGAGCAATAGAGGAGAGCAAATAGCCCAGGCATTTGAACCATAAGAACTCTGAAGTGATGAAGAACCTGCAAGACAGAACAAGAGGATTTCAAAAAGGACTTGTCTTATGACAAGATCATATTTGAACTAAGACTTTTTCTTTGCAAAGTCTAGCTAAGGACTATAAACCAAAGTGCTTGATGGGAGGCAACCCATTTTAGGTACTTATTTATTTTTGTTTAAGCTTTCTTTTTCTATTAAAAGTTTTGTTTTTCTTATTTTAGACAGGCCTTAGTATGCCATAAAAAAAAAAGGGGGCTGACCACGGCCAAAAGAGGTTCTCAACCGCGGCTGGCGCGCGTCCTACTGCAGCCGGGATGTCTTCATCCGCGGCCAGCACACCCGGCCACCTTGGCCACTTCTATCCACCCTTGGCCACATCTGTCCCACCTTGGCCACCTCCATTTCCACCTTTGGCCACCTCCACTTCATCTCTGGCCACCACCACCTTGTTCAAATCAGTTTTGGATCCCTAGCATCCAAGTTTGATCAAGCATCACCACCACAACCACATCACAATCCATCACTAACACCAGGTAAGTTTTCTTTTCCTTAAACTTTTTAAATCTTTCACATACTCTATTTCTCACCCTTGCCTGATTTATTTCACACTGGGGGCAGTGTGATTTAAGTCTGGGGGAGGATTTCATCACTTTCTAACCACATTTTCTTGCATGAGCCATTGCATTCTGCATTTTCTTTAAATTTTTTAAAATTTTTGATTTTTATTAAAATCTTTTCAAAGTCTTTTGAGTTTCAAAAAGTTTTTTCAAAGGTCAAAAACATTTTGAGGGAATAATGACAAAATCGATGATGATAACTAACCTGTTTGCTTCTACACCAATCACTCATAAAAGCTCTTTCAAGGTTTAGTACTAGACTAGGTAGTAGCTAAAGTACTTGCACTACTAAATCCCACCAGAGGATTTCTATTCACGAAGATCTTTTCTGCCATGATATACTAGCTCATTTTACTTGGACTTAATCTTGACATTTAATTTTCTCATTAATGGTTTTAAAGAAGGCATCATGATATACATCTATGACATCTTTTCCTTATTGATACCACTCTTTGTTGTCCTAGATGGCCAGTTCATCTTTAGCTGGTACCACACCCTTAACCCAAACCTTTATGTTCTAACCTCCTGCATTCTTTTAAGTCTAATTTGACAGATATGTGAAAAAACGCCGGAGAGAGAGGAACAACATAGTTTTCAGTCACTCAAGAGAAAGACTGAAAGACACCAGAAGGGAGTGTGCCAGAAATATTATGATGCCTCAGAAAAGCTCATTCTCAAAGGTAATTTTCGTGCTCCCTAAGACTCCAAGTCAAAGGCGGTTTCCCATTTCAAAAAAAAAAACGGAAAAAGAGAAAAAGGAAGAAAGGAAAGGAAACTACAAGCCTAAAGAGTCTTAGTAGCCGAAATCACTTGAGCCAAGGCAATTGGTATTCACTTAAGGAGTTATGGATTCACAACCTGGACAAAAATCCAAGTCTGGGGGAACTATAAGGAGAACCTGAAGAAAGGAGATCAGAAATCTTAAAGCAAGAAGAGTGTGACTGAAAACTGTGGGGGCATTTATCAGTTCCATCCTCTCTTGTTGTTTTTGCATAATATCTTGTCTCTCCAGAAAAAGGTAACCTTAAACACATCAGCCTTACCATTAAAAAGCCCTTTTGATACCTAACCTTGAATGCATTGTTTAATATCCTTTTGATGAGAACCACTGGAACCTTTAATGAATGTTAAGAGCTAGTTGACTGGAAGTTAGTTCTAAGTGTATGGATTTTCGCATGACGGATTAACGGACTAGTTATGTTTGTATTTTGGTGAGAATTTTCTAGACTTGATCTGATTGATGCATTGTCCATAATTAAGGTCTAGAAGTATGGTTGCTGATATTTTTGAGCTCCCTCTCATTTTTGCTCAAAGATATTTTTCCAGATTAGATCTTGTTTTGTTTGAGGACAAACAAAGTCTTAAGTTTGGGGGAGTTGATAACACCTGATTTTGACCACTTTTCACCATTGATTTCAAATCCTAGGTTTTACTTTGTTTTAGGAATTTTTATTATGATTTCCATGTATTTGTAGTTTCAAGGCTCTTTTCAGGAAACTTATGGAATATGATGGCAAAATGGAAGAAATCCACATTTTTAATTCAGAGTCAGATCGTCAGAAGTTCAGCCTCAAAATGAAGACTTTCTCACCGTCCAATCCAGCTCAAATTTGGAGACAATCAAGTGCAGACAACTAGCTTTCCATACCACTTTACATCACAAAGATCCAACGGTGCAATCAAAAGATACATGGAAAACAAGTTGACCCCGTTCACTAGTCCCGGAAGACTCTCAACCGCGGGAAACACATGTTTTACCTGCCCTGGAAGACTCTCACCCCTGGTGGACCTTCGAACGAGCCACAAGGCCCAACATCAAAGCCCACTTCGCCATTTCTCTTCAGAGAAGCTCTAAATGAGATCTGGAAACCTTAGGACCTATAAATACATTGTTTAGCAGTCCTAAACGGGTGTAATGAGATTTTGAGCCACCAAACTTTGTTTTTCTAGGGTTAGGCGATGGAGATGGGGATTCTTCCCCAGATCCATTGTTCTTCTTCCTTTTTATCTTATTAACTTTTCTGTTTCATTATTTTTGCACTCTTATATGTCTTTCATCATTCATTGCATCATGTAGATTAGTTCCAGAGAGTCAAGTTGTTTGAAGATGTCGACAAGCATATATATCGATTAGGATTTCTATTGTTCTTAGCCATATTCTGGATCTCATCTCTTCTAAGTTATTCATAAAGCATGAGAGTAGATTCATGACCTATTCTCTGAGCCTAGGATCGATCAGAGCCACGAGAGTGCTGTATCAGATCATTCGTACCTAGCTTCAGAAGAACATAGTCGCTATAGGAGTCGAAAGCTACCTATAGAGAAGATGCGAGCAGACGAATTCAATGTTCAATGCATGATCTTAAGTTTAGCATGAGAGCGAGAGTTAATTGCTAGATATAAGATATTATTTGATTAAGGTGACGACAGTTGGTTAATCATACAGTTGTGTCTATCCTAGTTCAATGCAGATTCCCAGAAACAGATGAAGATAAATCGCCCGGAAGCTAATTGAAAATGCCACCATATATCGATTAGAGTAAACCGAAGAAGTCTAAATCGCCACCTATAAGTTTAAGAGTCTTTAGTTTGAGTCGATATGCTTTAGATGTTCTTTTTACAATTCATCATGCATTGCATTTCTCGTGAATACTAGATTATGTTTAGTTTAGGATCTTAACCAAAAACCCCAAATCTTTTATTGGTTTATGATTTTGCTTACTTCCCAGTTTGTTGTTTCTTGCAGATTAGACATCCTCCTTGTGGATCGACACCCTAAGTCCTACAACGTACATCTGTGCACTTGCAGACACTAGGGTTTTATAAATTTAAAACTTTTGGAGGATGATGAGGGCATAGAACCACAAGCTCCACCTATACCAGCCGTGAGACAAGGACCAAGAACAAGATCCGGAACTATAGTCTTGAGAGAGGAGTTTAATCAAGCTATTGAAGCCTTACTTAGCATCCACGAGCAAGAAGACTCTTTGTACCCAAGCTTTAAGGCCACGGTCCAAGAAAGAAGCCTGGAAGAGCCTAATAAAGGAGAAGCCTATCTCATACAAGACGGCCCAAAAGCTGAATTACCACTTCTCCGACCCAACAAAGAAGTTTCCTTGTTCAGCATCAGCATCACGCCAACTTAAGACCATCCTAGCCGTCCAACCCACCAAGGTAAGGGAATGAATACGTTTATTTACTTACCTAATATGGTTTTTCTGTCTTTTGTTTGTTTTACAGGTTCCATTCCTAGTTTTAAGTCTTAGAATATTTCATTAGTTATTGCACGACTCTGTTCCTTTAGAGTCCCAGAAAGTTGTGTCCTTTTTATGTAATTTGCTTCAAGTCCCCAAGAAGGGCAAAGCTGCATTGGACTCTCTTATAAAGTCCCTTATAAGCAGCCGTGTATCTTTTACCCTACTATCAATAAAATAACACAGTTCTTTCAAGCTTTTGTCTTGTCTTTGAATTCTCTGAATTCTCTTTAGAGTTGGTGTTTGATCCTCCTCTTGAGAGTTGGTGTTTGATCCATCTCTCGCCGGTCTTATCAAGGTTCATTCCATAGAGCTTTGCGGCGACCCTCGTTCCACCGTTTGCATCATCATCGTTTCATCCCTTGACTCAATCAGAGAGAGTTACACAACCAGCTGATCGAGTTCCATCCTCTTTTCACATCAAATTCCATTCCTTATTCTTGTTGAGAGAGTTACACAACCAGCAACAAGGATCCATCCCCATCTATAGGCCCGTGCCTATATCATCTGGTATCAGAGCCGAAAGGTTCCAAAACCAGGTTATATCTTTTCATACCTTTCGGTTATACTTCTTTGCATCTTTGTTTTTCTTGTCGCACACTTATTCAAAAAAAAAAAAAGAGTTCTATTCGGTTGCATACATTGCATATCATCTTGAGCATTCATCTATATATCTAAAATCATTCTCCTTAGCATCATTCATAGCATCGAATAGTTGCGGCTCATTGCTAAAACGAAAATTCTGTCAAAAGCCCTAGTTAGCCAGAAAAGGAAAGTTTTCATAATCACGTACAAAAAAAAAAAGAGTTTACATTTCTTTAACATTGCACCGTCGTTTTATTGCATTAAAAGAAAAGGAAAGAACAAAAACAACACTTAGTTGTATTTCAATTTCTCTTTTGCACTTGATCTTTGTTTGCTCTTGAACGTAGACACCAATCATGGGAGACAATGCCGCACCTCTACCAGAAGTCATGCAACAACTACTTGACGGTATCAGGACTCTGAGCGACTGTCTTAAATTGATGGAACAACGGTTGCCACCACCAGCCCAACCCAACAACAATGGGAACCAACCAAGGCAACAACATGACCACGATGGAGAAGAGACTGATGATGACATGCCTAGTCTCGAAGATGAACTTCCACCTGACCCAAATCACCGGCGTGGCAGACGGGATAATCATGGCCAAGGTCAGCATCAGCGCCGTGAGAGAGGGAGGAGCCGAGAGAGAGATAGAGAAGACGAGAGATATGGGGGCAAAGATCTCAAGCTTACACCACCCACCTTTGCTGGAAAGGTCAATCCCGAGGCTTACTTGGATTGGGAGAGGAGAATGGACCATATCTTCGATTACTACCAATATTCTGAAGCCAAGAAGGTGTCGTTAGCCGTTGCCCAGCTAACAGACAATGCTCTCACATGGTGGGACCAAGAAGTCTCCAAAAGACGGAGGATGAGACGTGGCCAGATCACCACTTGGGAGGACATGACATTCCACCTAAAGAAGAGGTATGTGCCCGTTTATTACTTTAGAGACTTACAGAAACGTTTTCGGAAGTTGTCTCAGGGAAACAGGCCCGTAGAAGAGTACTATGAGGAGTTTGAGACCATCAGATATCGATTGGAGCTTCAAGACTCGGAGGAGACATTGATGGCCCAATTCGTTGATGGCCTCCAAGATAGAATAGCGAGAAAAGTAGAGTGGCAGAGCTATGAGCACATGGAAGATCTACTGCACTTTGCTATACAAGCCGAGCAGCATTTCAAGAAGAAAGCAGCCACTAACCGAGGAAAGTCTACTTGGACTCAACCCTTCTCTAAACCGATGGACAAAGGCAAATCCATAGAAGTGGAAAGTCGGTTCAAGAAACCAGCTTCCGGGCCGTCAAAGCCAGCTCCACATGAGCAAGGTAAGGCCCCTAATCAAAGGTCTCGAGATATAACGTGCTTTAAGTGTCAGGGAAAAGGCCACTTTGCAAAAGAATGCCCGAATCAAAGAGTAATGGTATTGAGAGACAATGGAGAGTATGAGTCACAAGATGAGGCCGAGCTAGAAGCCACTGACTCAGAAGAAGAGGTAACCGATTTCCCTGAGGTTGAAGAGATGTTGGTAATCAGGAGATCTCTTGGTGCTCTAAGTGACCCCGAGACACTCCAAAGAGAAAACATCTTTCATACAAGATGTAGCATTGGAAACAAGGTAAGTAGTCTCATTATAGATGGTGGCCTTGTACTAACGTGGCTAGCAAGTATCTTGTAGACAAGTTAGGTCTTGAAAAGACAAAGCACCCAAGCCCATACCGATTAAGATGGCTCAATGATACCACGGAGGTGAGGATTGCGGAGCAAGTTGTTGTGCCATTCAGCGTTGGAAAATATAGTGATCAAGTCACGTGTGATGTTGTGCCCATGCAAGCCAGTCACCTGCTCCTTGGGAGGCCATGGCAATTTGACAAAGAAACTATGCACAACGGTCGCACCAACTACTATTCTTTCACTCACCACAACAAGAAGCACAACTTGGCCCCTATCATGCCATCAGAAGTTCATGAGATGCAACAGGCCATGAGCAAAGGAAGACAGCTAAGTAGAACTAATCTATTTGGCTCACCAAGTACAATTCTTAAAACTCTCGATCATAAACAACCGGTATTACTAATGATCTTTAGAGAATGTTTGCTTTCAGGAACTGAGGAAGGTCCCGAGCTCCCACACGAGGTGGCTCAGCTATTAGAAAAGTTCCAAGATGTCTTTCCAAAAGATATACCAGCCGGCCTCCCACCTATAAGAGGCATTGAGCACCAGATTGATCTAGTACCCGGAGCACCCTTTCCTAACCAAGCCGCATATAGAGTTAACCCAACAGAGGCCAAAGAGCTAGAGGCTCAAGTCCAAGATTTAATGTCTAACGGATACATAAGAGAGAGCCTCAGCCCGTGTGCAGTACCCGTCTTGTTAGTGCCCAAGAAAGACGGCTCTTGGAGGATGTGTGTGGACTGTAGGGCCATTAACAACATCACCATCAAATACAGGCACCCCATTTTGAGACTAGACGACATGTTGGACGAGTTAAGTGGAGCTACTATCTTTTCAAAGGTGGATCTAAAGAGTGGCTATCATCAGGTGAGAATGAAGGAAGGAGATGAGTGGAAAACTGCCTTCAAGACCAAGCAAGGTCTATACGAGTGGCTTGTGATGCCTTTTGGCCTCACAAACGCCCCAAGTACCTTCATGAGACTCATGAACCACGTCTTGAGAGCATACATCTGTAAGTTTGTAGTGGTTTACTTTGATGATATTCTGATTTACAGCCAATGCTTAGAAGATCATATTAAGCATCTTGAACAGGTTCTAGAGACACTTAGATTAGAGGGTTTTAAAAGCAAATCTTAAGAAATGTATCTTCTGCACTGATCAATTGGTATTTTTAGGATTTGTTGTAAGTTCTCAGGGTCTTAAAGTGGATGAGGAGAAGATTAAAGCCATCCAAGAATGGCCCACACCATCCACGGTTAGACATGTTAGAAGCTTTCATGGTTTGGCAAGCTTTTACAGGCGCTTTGTCAAGGATTTCAGTACCATAGCAGCCCCATTGATATCGGTGATCAAGAAGAACACTACTTTCACTTGGGGGCCGACTCAAGAAGCCGCATTCAACAAGCTGAAGGAGAGCCTCACACAAGCACCGGTTTTAGTCCTTCCTAACTTTGATAAAATGTTTGAGGTTGCGTGAGATGCATCAGGTACTGGCATAGGAGCGGTTCTAACTCAGGGAGGGAGGCCAGTAGCTTACTTCAGTGAGAAGCTAAGTGGAGCAACACTCAACTACCCAACTTATGATAAAGAACTCTATGCTTTGGTGAGATCACTAGAAACGTGGCAATACTATCTGCTTCCAAAGGAGTTTATAATTCACACAGACCACGAGACCCTTAAGCACTTAAGAGGCCAGACCACACTTAAGAAAAGGCATGCCCGATGGTTAGAGTTCGTAGAAACCTTTCCATATGTGATTAAGTACAAGAAGGGACAAGAGAACGTCGTAGCTGATGCACTTTCAAGGCGTTACACTCTCATCTCTACAATGGAAGCCAAGATCATGGGTTTTGAGCACATCAAGGGTGGACATGAATCTGATCCTGACTTCTCAGAGGTCTACAAAGAAACTACAAGGGCCGCATTTGGAGTATTTTACCAACAAGATGGATTTCTATTTAAGGAAAAGCGGCTATGCATCCCACAAGGGTCCATGAGGGAGTTGATCACTAGGGAGGCTCATGGAGGCGGGTTAATGGGACACTTTGGCCGAGACAAGACACTGAGCGTGCTGATGGAGCACTTTTACTGGCCACACATGCGAAGAGACGTAGAGAAGCATTGCACTAAATGTATCATTTGCCTCCGAGCTAAGTCCAGGTTACACCCTAATGGTTTACATATGCCTTTACCTATTCCTAATGCACCCTGGGTGGACATTTCTATGGACTTTGTTCTAGGGTTGCCTAAGATACACAACAAAGACTCCATTTTTGTAATAGTAGACAGGTTCTCAAAGATGGCGCACTTTATACCATGTAACAAGACCAATGATGCAACTCAAACAGCTGATCTCTTTTTTAAAGAGGTCGTGCGTCTTCATGGAGTGCCCAGGACCATTGTTTCAGACCGAGACACCAAATTCCTCAGCCATTTTTGGAAGACATTGTGGAAAAAGCTTGGCACCAAACTTTTATTCTCCACCACTTGTCATCCCCAAACGGATGGACAAACAGAGGTAGTAAACCGTACACTCTCAACCTTATTGAGAGCCACGGTTGGTAAGAATCTCAGGAATTGGTTATCTTGTCTACCTTTCATTGAATTTGCTTATAATCGTTCCAAACACTCCGCTACTAACCAATCTCCTTTTGAAGTTGTCTATGGGTTCAACCCTCACACGCCTTTTGACCTTATTACTTTGCCACCAGCCATCTATTCAAGCGCAGAAGGAGAAGCTAAGGCCGATTTTGTGAAGAAGCTGCACCAAAAGGTTAAAGAGAAACTGAAAAAAAAGAACGAAAAGGACAAAGCAAGAATTGATAAAGGGCGCAAGGAGGTTACCTTTGAACCAGGAGAGTGGGTGTGGTTGCACATGAGGCAAGAAAGGTTCCCACAACAAAGAAAATCCAAGCTTGCACCAAGGGGAGATGGGCCATTCCGAGTTTTGGAGAATATCAATGACAATGCATATAAGTTGGAGCTGCCAGGTAAGTTTAATATATCTCCTACATTCAATGTTACTGACTTGTCTCCTTATGTTGCAGATGACCCTGTTCTGAGGTCAGAACCTTCTCAAGAGGGAGGGGATGATGAGGGCATAGAACCACAAGCTCCACCTATACCAGTCGTGAGACAAGGACCAAGAACAAGATCCAGAACTAGAGTCTTGAGAGAGGAGATTAATCAAGCTATTGAAGCCTTACTTAGCATCCACGAGCAAGAAGACTCTTTCTACCCAAGCTTTAAGGCCACGGTCCAAGAAAGAAGCCTGGAAGAGCCTAATAAAGGAGAAGCCTATCTCATACAAGACGGCCCAACAGTTGAATTACCACTTCTCCGACCCAACAAAGAAGTTTCCTTGTTCAGCATCAGCATCACGCCAACTTAAGACCATCCTAGCCGTCCAACCCACCAAGGTAAGAGAATGAATATGTTTATTTACTTGCCTAATATGGTTTTTCTATCTTTGGTTTGTTTTACATGTTCCATTCATAGTTTTAAGTCTTAGAATATTTCTTTAGTTATTGCACGAGTCTGTTCCTTTAGAGTCCCAGAAAGTTGTGTCCTTTTTATGTAATTTGCTTCAAGTCCCCAAGAAGGGCAAAGCTGCATTGGACTCTCTTATAAAGTCCCTTATAAGCAGCCGTGTATCTTTTACCCCACTATCAATAAAATAACGCAGTTCTTTCAAGCTTTTGTCTTGTCTTTGAATTCTCTGAATTCGCTTTAGAGTTGGTGTTTGATCCTCCTCTTTAGAGTTGGTGTTTGATCCATCTCTCGCCGGTCTTATCAAAGTTCAGTCCATAGAGCTTTGTGGCGACCCTCGTTCCACCGTTTGCATCATCATCGTTTCATCCCTTGACTCAATCAGAGAGAGTTACACAACCAGCTGATCGAGTTCCATCCTCTTTTCACATCAAATTCCATTCCTTATTCTTGTTGAGAGAGTTACACAACCAGCAACAAGGATCCATCCCCATCTATAGGCCCGTGCCTATATCAGAGGACCAACGGGCTTGTTAAAAAAAACAACCCTAGGCCCGCAAGCCCATCATTAACCAAACCTTTCTTGAAGCCTGAAACACTCTAGTGAGAGATGCGAGGTCTTTTCTGAATAAACTTGACAGAAAGTGTTGGGTTTAGGGCTACAAGAGTAGAGTTTCACGTAGATCTAGCTCTGCATCATGAGTCTGGAGTAGGCTTGGAAGAGATCTAGGGAAACACTGAGTGGAAAAGAGAGAGTTTGAGATGTGAACCAAGGGATGGGAAAGAAAAGAAATCGGTTTGGGGTCTGTTGTTTAAAAAAAAAATAGAAAGCTGTTATATTCATAAATTGCATCATTTAGCTTACATATTTCATTCCAAATCATGTCTTATTTCATGCACTTTAGGTCTTTAGGCATTGTTTTAGGACTTCGGAGTTGCATTAGGTCCAAAGGAGTCTTTGCATGGTTTGGAGTCTTAAACAGGTACTTTGGAGTCTATTTGGAGCAGAAGAGTTGAGACCACGTGTTTAAATGGAGTTTGGAGGTTCAAAGATCATGAAATCAAGGTTTTGGAGGTTATCGGCTAAGTCCTGTACCGGAGGATGCTTTTTTACCGGCTAAAAACTCTTCCTGGGGGGTTTACCATCGACCAAATTGCTTACCGGGTGAAGAATGTTTTATCGGGTGTTGCTTGTGCCTGGATCACATAACCATCGGCTCAAAAGCATATCAGATGGACTCTGGCTCGGTAAAATGCTGTACCGGATGTGGAGAGTAATGGCTGAGTTTTATGCCAAGACAGGTTGGAATTTCTTCGGCTAAAAAGCTTACCGCGGAACATATTCTCGACCAAAAAGCTTACCCTGGTTCCATAACAGTTAGAATCAGTAGATTCGGATCAGTGATCTCTGAGTTATAGCCATCAGAATACATGCCTGTCTCGCTGCCTTTCCCGACCAATCTGATGTGCTTTAAAGGTTTCGCAGGAAGATACCCTTCCTCTTCGATACAGTTTCCGGGGCCTTCATCAAGATTCAAGAGCTTCGAGTCTTATTTCCAGAACACTTGAGATCACAGGATTTGGAGGTCTTAGTTGGGGGATAACATTTCCGGAATGAAGCATGTTAAGAAGCCTTTCTCCGGGTCTTTCTGATACACTACAGAGATCAGCGATCCAGGAGACCTTCCACTCCCCGGATGCAATTTTATTCCTCACCAAAGTTTGAGATTTTTGAGTTCTATTTCCAATGGAATTTGAATCAAGCCATTTTGATCCATATCCTGGATGTTACGCCGCCTCGAATGCAAAGTGGCCAGAGAAGACATGGATTGTGCGAGACGGTTCTGCGACTTAGTCAACTCGCAGCAATGAGAGATTTAGTTCTGGGAAATAGCCTGCGACTGGAGATGTGCGGGTAAGGCTACCCTAAGCAAGGGCAAAGACCTCCGAGCTGAAATATGCTAAGTCCACAAGCTGTGCGAGTTGGGCATGTGTTCGCAGATCAAACCGAGTTGGGCATGCGACTTGGAAGTGAAGAAGACCATCTCGCACACAAGTTTGAGGTCCTGTGCTACATGAGTGTGCAATTAGAGAGCAAGAGAGCATGAACCGCACTTATGTTTGTAGTTAAGACCGAGAAGGGAATGCGGCTTACTCTACAAGGTTCAAACTCGCAAAAACATCTTTCCAGACTTGTGCGAGTTGCGTGTGCGACTTGGAGCTAAAGAAGACCAACTCGCACACATATTTTTTCCAGAATGCATCTTGGTTGTGCGAGTTTAAGAGCAGAAGACCTGAACAGCACATGTATTCACAGAACAAACCGGGGTAGCCATGCAGCTGAGGCTGAAGGAGTTTAGGCGCACAAGACAAGTTCCAAGGCTGTGCGATTCTGGCTTGCGGGATGGGAAGCACTTGACCAACTCGCACACTTAACACATTGCCCATTTGAAGCTGGGTCAGTATCTAGTTTGTCCTGGGCTGACCCAGTCCGAGCTAGTTAGTATAAATATATTTAGTGTTTTTTCCAAGGGACATCTCATTTTCCCTTAAGCTTTTTGCCTCTTTTGAGAAAGAACACACTTTTAGAGAGATATCTCTATTTTCTTCTGGAATCAAGAGAGTCTAAGAGCTTTAATCACCATTTCATCATCATCTATCCATCTTCTATCATCTCTCATCAACTAATCATGCTTGTCTACCCATCTTGCAAAGGATCAAGAAAATAATCATGATTATTGAGTAGTCACCTCATTAGAGTTCTAGATATGTAGGTTAGGGTGCTCTAGGGGTTTTATTAAGTTAGCTTAGGGCTAGGTTCATGCATCTTTCTTCTTGTTTAGCTAATCTTAATGCTGGGTTTCTGAGAATCACTTAAACCCAAATACTAGACATTTCATGCACCAAAAGTGTTTGATGAAATGTCATGATTTCTGAGAACCAAGCTAGTTCAAGAGTCTATTGTTTAATTTACATGGAGGTGTTTTATTGAGCATAGATAATATATCATGACTGGTTCTTAATGCATCTCTTTCATTTGTTTCTCTAATGATGATTGGGTATGAAAGAATGTTTGAGATTGTGTTTTGATGATTGAGAAAGATTGAAACTTGTTATGAATCATGAGCTGCTTAGATCATTAATCATCATTGTCATTAACTACTTAGTTAAATCCTGAAAGCACCCTAGCCATCTATCATATCTGGAGCTCTAATCCTCATCATATCATATTCATCATCTTGTTTAGTGTTCTTGTTTGCTTAGTTTGCATCTTAATCTCGTTTTAGACTTGTTTAGTTTACTTTGTTGTTATTGTTACTTATTTGAACCATAATCTGTCTATTTGGCTTGAATTAAGAAACTATCTCATAGATTAGTATCTACACCACACTGTTGGATTGATACCCCTTTCTACAAGTGATAAAGGGGATTCATAACCTCCTTAAGAGTCCTAAAACTCTTAGTTATCAAAAGCTCTTGTGTTTTGAAAAGAAAAGTCTAGCCTATAAGTGAAAAGAAAAGAAAAGAAGCCAAAAAAGCTCAAGTGTTTAAAGAGAAAAGAAAAGAGGCTAGACAATGTTATGTGAAAAGGAGCTAAGTGAAAGGTTTAGACCCTAAAGCCTGAGTTTGAGAATGAAAAGATAAATCCCCTAGTAAGGAAAAGATTGAGAGTGAAGTGAGAAGTGGGTTGAGAAGGCAATGAATGCCTTGAGAGAAGGGTAGCTTAGGTATGTTCTTCATGGGATTAGATTTAAGGTGAAAGACCAACTTGGGGCATTGGGTAGATGAGATTCTACTTTTGTATGTATCAGTTGCCTTTTAACCTTAGCCTTCTGTTAAAGTTTATTCCTTCTTGAGTAATCTCTTGAGCTGAATTGAACCCACAAGCATTAAATGAGATCATCTTTGTCTTATAACCTCATCCCTTAGCCAAATGAGTTCACATGATTTGCATGAGCATGATCCACATGAGTTTTAATGAATGTCAGAAGGTTGGAACTAGGGCTGCTTGTGAAAGCTGATGCCTAAGCTTAATTCACTTTGTGATGAGTATGGCAAAAGTTTTATGAGTAATCTTGTGTGCACTGCATCTTAGAATTAGCAACTAGGAAAATGAACTTTGAATTCTTTTAGGGATCATCTCTCTCATTATGGAATATGAACTCCCAAGCATTCAATCTCTCTCTCTCATTTGTTCTTTTTGCCTGAGGACAAGCAAATGACAATGTGGGGGAGTTGATATATTCATAAAATGCATCATTTAGTGTACATATTTAAGTCCAAATCATGTCTTATTTCATTCATTTTAGGTCTTTAGGCATTGTTTTAGGACTTAGGAGTTTGCATTAGGTCCAAGTGAGTCTTTGCATGGTTTGGAGTGTTAAACAAGTGCTTTTGGAGCTTATTTGGAGTGGAGAAAGTTAACCAGATGAAAAAATGGTGTTTCAATGATAAAAAATGGTGAGAAAAGGCAACTTGGAGCTTCTCGGCATTTCACTGTACCGCAGGTCGATGTTTCTCGGCTGAAAACCAAACCGCCAGCAGGATCTCTTGGCCAAAGACGCGTACCGCGTGGGCCAAAAATGTCTTACACTGATACGTGTCAAAGATTGCATTACCGGAAGGTCTTCCCTGCCGATTCAGCTTCCGGGGTCTTAGGCAAAGATCAAGATAATTGAATCAAGGTTCCAGAACATTTGAAATCAATGCATTTAGAGCATCGAGCTGAAAGATACGGCTACCGAAAGACAGACCTGTCTTGCATCCATTCTGGGGCAATCTGATACGTCTGAAAGACTGCCTGTCCGGGGAACCTTGCCGTCCGATTCAGCTTCTGGGGTCTACATGACAGTTTGAGAGCACAGTTTCTAGTTTCCAGAATGATTAGAATCAGAATCAGGATATTTTGAATTGTGAGATGGGAGATATTGCAATCAGCATATCTTGTTTTCTCCTAAGTGAAATGAAATCTTCCATTCTTCTAGATCTTCTCTGAGATGCTTGCCTGGCTCCGCTACGTCCTAACGTCTCGCATCCCAATTAGTCCAGATCAGCAACTCATCCAGCTCCACTTCCATTCAAGCTCCAAGTCGTGACTTGCTCTGCACCCCATGCTTGTGTCACTCCATACTCCAGCTCCACTGCTACAGCAACTGATTCAAGCAGCTACATCTTCACATAGAACTAGTAGTTGATCAGAATTGCTTGTTGATTCTCGTTACTGAGTTGTTTGTATCAACAAAATTCAAAAAATAAAATTGTGATTTGTTTTTTTTAAATGCACCTTTAAAAGTTTTCTTATTTGTTTCAATCACAATTCTGTCATCATTTAAGTAAAAACTGTCTGCCTAAATTCTTTCAAATTTTAAACCGATTTTAAATTTTCCTATTCTTGTTGGAGGTGAAAACCGCACCTCGGTTTTCTCCGGTACAAACCGAGATCGGCAAACCATAAGCCCGGTTTACGAAGGGACGTACCGAGCAAAGATGGGCCGAGAACAGCCCATTAGGCCGAGGTCGGTGAGAAACCTCTCGAAGGAATAGAGAGTTTCCATGAGCTCGGTCGAAACAGGAAAATTTCCTAATGGAAAAAGGAAACTTTGGAGAGAAAAGGAAAGGAGCCGAGAGAAAAGGAAAATTCTCTCGGTCCCATATCGTCTAAGGCGTGCTTGAGGACCGACTTAGGGGATATATATAAAGGGAGACGAATCGACACCAGAGAACACAAGATATTCCCAAGAAGACTTAAAGACTGAGAGCTCAATACGCTAGCTTCTTAGTCGTCTTAAGTCTCAGTTCGTTATTTTTTATCTGAATAACCGAACTCAGTTGTATTTTGCTTGATTCAATCTAATAAAAACCGAATTTCTGATCTAAAAGTACTGTTTTGTCCCTTGTCGATATTTGCATATCAACAATTGGCGCGCCAGGTAGGGGGCTTAAACATATTTCTCAAGCTTTAGATCGGACTTCGGAAAGATTGAATCAGCGATGGCCAACATTCACGAAGAAGGAAACCCTCTTGGTGGAGGGAACGCTAACGCCCCAACAGAACAAGGAGGAGGAACTCCTGGAGGAAACGCTGGAACCATAGCCGGCCAAACCCCCGCAGCCGTAGGAGGTTATGGAACCGAACTACTGCTCCAAGTGTTCAATGCCTAGTTTAAGGCCATCAACAAAAGAAGCAAGGACCGCTTCAGTCAGATGGCGGCACAAATCGCCGAGCTCAGTCAAGCGCGAACTCCTTTTCGAGTTCGGAACATCATTGACGATCTTAATACCGACGGAGATCCAGCCGGGACTATGAGGTCTACTGCAGTCGGATCAGCGAATGCACCAGCATCGGATTTAAGCCGAGACGCCGAGTTCGAAGCAATGAAGGCGCAGCTTCGCGATATCACTTCGAAGATACATCAAGCAACAAGCGCGGCTCCGGAAATCGAGCGCGTTATTCAGGAAACGCAGAAAACACCCTTCACACCGCGCATAGCAGGGACGCCGGTCAAGCACATGGAGAAACTGAAGATAAAAGTCTACGAGGGTAATTCCGACCCTCGACACTTCTTGACATCGTTCGGCATCTGCATGAACCGATACCAGTTCAAATCAGCCGAAGAGAGAGACGCAGTTCAGTGCCAACTATTTGTGGAAAGCTTGGGAGGAGTAGCTCTCGACTGGTTCTCGCGACTCGAAGCCAATTCAATCGATAACTACAAGGGGTTAACGACGGCTTTTGTCAAACACTTTTCCATGTTCATTGGACAAAACACCAAGAACTCCGAGCTCTGGCAAATAGCCCAAGGACCAAGCGAGAGCCTTCGTGATTTCATCCAGCGCTTCAAGACGATCGTCGCCAATTGTACGATTAGCGACGAAGCCGCTCTCTTATGTCTTCAGAAAGGAGCTCGGATAAAAACTAGCTTTCGGAGCGCGATCACGCATAACCCTCCACAGACATTAGAAGACGCGTTGCATCGAGCTAATACTTACATCGCTGAAGAAGAAGAAGAAGCCGCGTACGAGCAGAGCTATTCAACGAAGCAACCCGAACGCCCGAAAACCGCGACTAATGAGCCACAGTCGGGATACGGTCGAGGATACGAGAATCGCAAGAAGTTCTACGCTAACGCAATCCAACAACCGAACAAGCAGTGGAACAACAAATGGGTTCGCGGTGAAGAAGATCAAGACGAGTTACTATTCTGCGAATTCCATAACCGTAGGGGCCACAGCACCGAAGAATGCAGGCATCTGCGAGAATATATACTCGGTCTATATCGCAAGGAGCCGATCTCGGTCGACAACTTTTGATCGACGATCTCCATCTTTCACATATGCCTCGACCAAACAATGAACAGCTTGAGAAAGCACTCGCCAAAGATCCACCAACTCCACTGGCTTTACCGACGTTACCACCGCCACCACCGAATCCGCCTGTTTTGCCCGAGCAACAGAAACGGAATCGTGATGACCGAGCACCAGAGAATCACGCTCCTAAGGCACGGAAGCGTGTCAACATGATAATGGGGGCAATCGAAGCTTGCAGTTATTCGGTCCGAGCCATCAAAGAGTACAGCAGAGAGGCCGCCAGCGCGCCCAAAGCCCCGCATGATCCGCCGAAGGGAACGCCCTTGGTATTTACCGAGGCCGATACAATCAGGCTGCATAAACCACATAACGACGCCCTCGTTGTCGAGCTGCTCCTCAACGACGTCGAAGTAAGCCGCATTCTGGTCGATACGGGCAGCTCGGTTAACGTTATCTTCAAGGAAGCACTTGACCAACTCGAGTTGGCATCAGATAGGATTGAACCGTTTATCGAACCAATTACCGGATTCGATGGAGAACGTTGTATGACGGTCGGCATGGTCAACATTCCGATCTACGTCGGCGGAGTCGCAAAGATTATCCAGTTCCTTATCCTCGATAAACCGGCGATCTACAACGCTATTCTCGGAACACCTTGGCTACATGCAATGAAAGCAGTCGCCTCGACGTACCATCAATGCTTGAAGTTCCCGACTCCCGACGGTGTTTATACTCTCCGAGGAAACCAAGCCGTTGCTCGATCGTGCTACATAAACGAGTGCAGACTTCATTCGGCCAACCAAGCTTGTGTTATTAGCTCGTTAGGACCGACTGAGAAACTCATCGTCCAGAATACAAAACCTAAACAGGAATCGATCGTTCAAGTTTGCATCGACGAACTAAGGCCAGAACGTCAAGTCGGAATCGGCGCCGAGCTCGACCCAGTCATCCGCGAGCCACTCATTCACTTTCTGAATCAGCATTCATCGACCTTCGCTTGGTCGGCAGAAGATATGCCCGGGATTGATCCACAGATCGCGTGTCACGAGCTCAACATTGATCCAACATATAAGCCAATCAAGCAGAAACGCCGAAAGCTCGGACCAGAGAAAGTACAAGCCGTAAACGATGAGGTCGAGCGTTTACTCAAAGTCGGATCCATCACCGAAGTCAAATACCCAGATTGGTTAGCAAACCCCGTGGTCGTAAAGAAGAAGAATGGTAAATGGAGGATCTGCGTCGACTTTACCGACCTCAATAAGGCGTGTCCGAAAGATAGCTTTCCGTTGCCTCATATCGACCGCCTCGTGGAAGCAACTGCCGGGAACGAACTACTCTCGTTTATGGACGCGTTCTCCGGGTATAATCAGATTCTTATGCATCCGCAAGATCGGGAGAAGACATCGTTCATCACGGATCGTGGCATCTACTGCTACAAGGTCATGCCCTTTGGCCTGAAGAATGCTGGAGCAACGTACCAACGACTGGTAAACCGGATGTTCGCAAGCCAGCTCGGGCGAACCATGGAAGTTTACATCGATGATATGTTCGTGAAGTCACTCGTCGCTTCCGATCACGTCGGCCATCTTCGCACATGTTTTGATATCTTGGATCAGTATGGTATGAAGCTGAATCCAACTAAGTGTACGTTCGGCGTGACATCTGGAGAGTTCCTCGGATACATTGTTACACGGCGAGGCATTGAAGCTAATCCAAAGCAGATCGCTGCTATTCTCGAGCTCTCATCACCGACAACCAAACGTGAAGTTCAGCGACTTACCGGACGTATCGCAGCACTTAATCGATTCATATCCAGATTGACGGATAAGTGCTTGCCTTTCTACCAACTTCTTCGAGGTAACAAGCATCTCGAATGGAATGAGAAGTGTCCACTCCTCCAGTTTTATCCAAACCAGAAACCGGCGAGACACTTTGTCTTTACATCGCGATTTCGGAGTTCGCAGTCAGCAGTGTTCTCGTTCGAGAAAATCGCGGCGAACAGAAGCTAATTTTCTACACAAGCAAATCCCTCTATGGATCGGAGTATCGTTATCCGACTTTGGAGAAATTCGCCTTTGCCGTGGTCATTTCTGCACGGAAGCTACGCCTGTACTTCCAGTCTCACGCGATCGTGGTCCTAACCGATTACCCTCTTCGTACTTTCCTCCATAGCCCAAGTCAATCCGGACGACTCGCTAAGTGGGCTATTGAACTCAGTGAATATGACATCGAATACCGAGGCAGAACAGCAACGAAGTCTCAAGTCCTAGCAGATTTCTTGGTCGAACTCCCACCGGAGCTCGTCGAAGATAATCCGGTCGTACAACCCTGGATTCTTCACGCCGATGGTTCATCGTCCCATAAAGGATCCAGAGTCGGAATTCGTCTAAAATCACCCGAAGGAGAAGTTATCGAACAGTCGTTTCGTCTCGGCTTCCCAGCATCCAACAACAAAGCCGAGTACGAAGCATTGATTGCCGGACTACGACTCGCCAAAGGCATCGGCGCCGAGCATGTACACGCCTACTGCGACTCTCAACTCGTGGCTAACCAGTTTCACGGCGAATACGAGGCCAAGAACGACCGCATGGACGCATATCTCAAAGTCCTTAAGGATGTCGCTTCGGAGTTCTCTAACTTCGAGCTTCCAAAGATACCTCGAGATGAGAATGCAACCGCCGACGCCTTAGCCGCCCTCGCGACTAATTCCGATCCTAACCTTCGGCGAACCATCCCAATTGCGGCAATTGAACGACCAAGTGTCGAGCCCGCTCCGAACTGCAACATCATTACAAGACGACGTGATTACGAAACTCAACCCAATCTCGCCCCGCCACTCACCCGGAAGACGAAACTCAAAGAGGTCATTCCCGATCATGACAACGGTACGGACGAGCTCAATGGTAACGAATCCGATCCCGAAGATGACTCTGAAGGACAACACGTTCCAATCGATATCGAAGCCAAAGGCGAGGACGAACCCGAAGATTAGACCTTAGAAATCGTGGGATACATCGGAGACGGAACAGTTCCTGCGGATAAATGGGCAGCTCGGCGCCTTAAGGCTCGCGCAGCTCGATATGTGGTCATTAAAGGTACTCTTCTCAGATGGGATGCTTCCGGTGTACTTTTGACTTGTGTTCACGGCAACGACATCATGGAAGTAATGCAGAAGGTTCACGAAGGAGAAGGAGGAAATCACTCCGGAGCTCGGTCTTTGGCATTCAAGATCAAAAAAGCTGGCTATTACTGGCCCACTATGCTCTCTGATTGCGAAAAGTATACGGCACGCTGCGAGAAGTGCCAACGTCATGGTCCGATGATCAATCTTCCTACCGAGCTCCTGATGACCTCGACCGCACCATATCCTTTCATGCGCTCGGCAATGGACATCATCGGTCCCTTTCGCCGATCAACAACTCAGAAGCAGTATGTTCTGGTCGTCACGGATTACTTCACCAAATGGGTCGAAGCCGAAGCATACCCCGAGATTCATGGAATTGATGTCAAGAAGTTCGTCTGGAAGTTCATCATCTGCCGACACGGAGTCCCGTACGAGATCGTTACGGACAACGGAACCCAATTCACTTCGATCATTTTCCAAGATTTTTGCACCAAGTGGAAAATCCGACTAAGTTTCTCTACCCCGCGGTACCCGCAAGGAAACGGACAAGCCGAAGCCACAAACAAGACCATCATTGACGGACTAAAGAAACGACTCGATACCGCTAAGGGAACCTGGGCGGACGAACTTGACGGCGTCTTGTGGTCTCACCGAACTACACCACGACGTTCGACCGGTCAATCACCATTCTTCCTTGCATATGGCACAGAAGCTATGTGTCCAGCCGAACTCAACGTCCCAAGTATTCGCCGAACTATGCTTACCTAGCAACCCGACGTGAATAACAACATGATGATCGACGCACTCGACTTAGTCGAAGAACATCGCGAACGAGCATTGCTCCGGATACAGAACTACCAACAACTTGCAGCTCGCTACTACAACAAAAAAGTTAAGGGCCGTCACTTTGAAGATGGCGACCTTGTACTTCACAAAGTCTATCAAAACACAGAAGAGAAGAACGCAGGAAAACTTGACGCGAACTGGGAAGGACCGTATCAGATTATGAAAGTCGTTAAAACCGGTGTTTATCAACTTATGAAGTTAGACGGAACTCCGATCCCGCGATCTTGGAACTCAATGCATCTTAAACGATACTACTACTAGTTCGTTGCGAGCTCAAAAAAAAAAAAACACTTTTGTACTTAGAACTACGAATGGCTTGATCCCTTCAAAGGGTACGTGGGCAGCTCGTTACCGAGTCCAGCTATAACATCAATAAAATTTTATTAAGTGAAACTTTCGCTAAGTTCCAGTTCGGAAATCATAAGGGACCGAACTCCTTGTTTTTACATCGACTTCCTGGCCAGTTGTTCGATAGCATTCCACATGAATGCAAACTAAAAAGCCGAGATCCGTCTCGCAAGCACCCACATGGTGTCGTGGTTAAGCCACATATCAAAAGCCGGGCCCAGTCCCGCAGTTGAATTTCTAAGTCACCAAGAACAATAAGCCGAGCACATCTCGCATACTTAGGTTCAACTTAGAAAAACCTTGAACTCGTTTTGTGCATTTACAGGAGTTCGAATTAGTTCACTCTTCCAGTACGAAACGATTCACTTGGGTTCCCCAGGCCGAGCTTAAACGCTCGCACAATAAGCCGAACTCCTCAGATTCGCACCATAAGCCGAGTTCACAACACTCGCAAAACGTAAGCCGAATTATCGCAATTCGCTATCGAAAAATAAAAGTTATGATTCGAATAACATCTACGATATACCGATCTATTACTTTATGAAGACAAGAAAAAATATGAACGAGCATATAATTAAAAGCCCCCCGAGAGGCAAATAAGTTCAAAAGGAACCACCGAGGGTTCAGATAAACATAAATATTACAAAATAACCCATGAAAGGGCAAATAAGTTTGAGAATAAAAAAAAAAGCAGGAAAAGATTAGACGGTCTTCGAAGTAACAGCATTGAGCATGTCTTCGTTTGAGCCGAACTGCTCACCCCTCGCAGGATCCTGCGCGCTCTGGGTCACGTTCGCGATCGGAATATCATCTTACTCCACGAACGGAGACATCCTCTTGTCCTCCTCGGTGAGAACGCAAGCATCGACTGCATGGAAGTCCTGCAGCGCCTTGGCATGTTTTGCTTCGATATCAGCAACCATTTCTGGCGGGACCTCGTACAAGCCCTTCTTCCGCAACTGCTTGATGAAACCGAGAACTCCCGTGAGTTGGTTGACCACCAAGTACGGCTTGCGAGCACGGTCCACGTCCTCCAGACTACGGATAACTTTTTCCAGGCGTTCGCAAGCCGTGTCATGGACTTTTCTCGCCCGGCCCTTCCAGTGTGCGACCAATTCTCGTAGCTGCTCTCGGTCTTTCTCGAACTCCCTCGCCAGCATACTTTGAGCCTCAGTCAATTCGGCTTTCACCGCCTTTAACTCAGCACTCTCTTGCTTCAGCAAATCAACCGAAGAGTGGAGAGTCTCGTTGATTTGTAGCTCGGTGGCGAGGCGCTCCTCAGCTCTGGCGACTCTTTCCTCGAGCTCGGAGACCCTTACTTGCTCATCAAAAAGAGCTACCTCGTACGCGGCAACCAGATTGTTGGTCTGCCTGGCGAGCTGCATAAAAGAAAATCAAATCAGAACTCGCACTTGGAAAATTGTTGGATAGAGAAATGAAATCAAGAAATTACCACAGCAGTTGTACGGGCAATTCCCTTATACATGTTCAGGAACCGGAGCTCGGGGACTGAAGGAAGACTTGGGACCTCTGATGAGATCTTGTGATAGAGCTCGGCGCAAGCATCTATGTTCTCCTCGAAAGGAGTCTCCTCGTCATAATCAAAACAGACTCGGGCCCTCTTAGCCGGCTCGGGCTCTGGAGAACCCTCAACATGGTCCCTAGTTTGCCTCTTACGGGAATGAGAAGCTTCACCTCGGTCTTGAGAAAGAGCGAGGTCCGACCCCACAGCCGCCGGTGGATCGAGCTCGGCGGGTACATCTTGCACCCGAGAAGAATCTTCCGTCTTCTTAGTCTTCTTCGAAGACTTCTTCTTCTTCACTCTCTTCGGACCGGCTTGGTCAGGTGAGTTCGCAGCAGGTGGCAACTCTTCCGGCTGCTCATTGGTCCCTTCGGTAGCAGGGACTGGGGTCGGATCAGCCACGTCCGGTTCCTCCTCGTCAAAGAGAGTTGGGATCTCATCCAAGGAAAGCATCCTAGCAGTGCGAGTTTGTTTAACCTGTGGTTTTGGAACTTTGCGCCTTGGAGCAGCTCGGGGCTTGTTAGCTCGAGCTTTTGGCTTGCGCGGTTTTGGTTCTCGGACGGAACCTGAAAGGAAAATATGTCAAGGAGGAGTTCGGGATAAATTCAAAATCAAAGAAGTAAAAAGAAGGAACTCAAGAGACAGACCTGCTTTCTTAGCTCGACGATCAAGAATTTCCTCCCAAACTTCAGGCCAGCGACGCTTGCCGGCTTCGCTGAAAGCTGCTTCGAATTCGGAGGTGAGCCCGGAATTGAGGATTAGACTTGGGAGATGACGACCTACGAAGATCCGAGAAAGAGTTAGTCAAATACAGAAGTGAAAAATTAATAAAGTACAAGTTCGTCTGGAGCTACCAATCGGAATCTTCCACTCCGATTGAGTTGGTATGTCAGAGTTGCTGACAGTGAGATCGTTCATCTCGAGGTAAAAGTACAAGGATTCCCAGTCATTGAATTTACTGGGTTTGGGACCGGTCACTATGTTCTTCTTCGGCTTAGAATTAGCGGCAAAGAACCATTCCTTGGACTTATGGATGTTCACCGAGAAAAGATCCTCGAACAATCGGCTGGAAGGAAGTTGGCCGAGTTCGTCGCACAAAGTAACAAACCCCACGTAGTTCGTTACTGAGGCTGGCATCACCTGTGAGAGAGCTACTCCACGCCGATTACAATACCCAAGAAGACGAGAGGGGATTGGAAGTGTGAGCCCGCATTGCGTGAAATAAGTTAGATAAACACAGAGAAAGCCTTCGGGCACGTCCCACGGCCGATCTCCAGCTTCGGGGATTATGAAGGCAATCTGGCCTAAGAGCCCATTTTCCTCGAGCACGGCCTGGATAGCGCCCGTAGAAACTGAGGAGGACGGTACGTTGTTGGGGCGAACGACCCTTCGTCTCGGAAGAGGCGGTGAGGCATGGTTCACCGCTTCAAGGTTGTTCTCGGCGATTTCTTCTTCATTGGCGTCGGCTTCCTGACCCTCTCCTTCAGGTTCTTCGACCTCCTCGATCTCATGGTCAATACTGTCGGCGTTCGGTCCAACGCGAGCTTCTGTTTCGCGAGTTTCTGCCGTCAACCGTTCGGTAGCCTCGACTCTAGGTCTAGCACGGCTACTGCTCGCTTCCACTGACTTGGAGTTCTTACGAACTAACTGAGGAGGGTTGCTCTCTTCCTGAGACGAGTTCGATTGGTGAGGATTCGAAGAGGAGGAGCTCGGCTCAGAGGATTCGCGTCGATCTTCCGGAAGGATTTGATTGGAAGATGAGTTAATGGAAGAACTGGAAGACATTTTGAGTTCGGAAGAATAGATTTAAAGGAGATCTAAAAAGAATGAAGAACAGCTTGAAGATCAACCGGAAAAGATTGAAGATTGATCGGAAAGCTTGAAGATAGCTCGGAAAAATCAAGGGTTCGCGGCGGCGAGCGTTGAAAAAACGAGAGAAAACTAAGAACGAGAACTAGAGAGAGAAATGAAATCTAGAGAGAAGGGAGAGCAGCGTACCTTATATATGCTTGAGGCGAGAATAATGAATGCGAGAAGAAGTTTGCCCTTTATACACAGTGGGAATCGTGGGTTCCTCGATTTTCGCAAGGATCCCGTAATTCACGCGCCTCATTGAAGACGGGCGCGAAACGTCCGGAAATGTGAATCGACA